TCGTGACGTGACGATCGTCGCTTGCTTTCTCCTTTGTCGTCGCGCTCATCGGCGACCGCCAGGGTCGCCCTTCGCGGCCCATTTCTAGATGATTGCGCTCTGGGATCTAAGGTGCGTGCTTCTTATTGTCGCACTTGTACTTAGCTGACGAAAATTTCATCATGTTCGTTTCCACTCGGCATCCTGGACCGTCCCCGTCGATGTTCATTACACATTCCCATTCTTCGAACTCTCGATGTTCTCAAGAGCACATGGCTGCTTAACCCCCCATATTTCTGCACGGCATCGTCAAATCTGCACGATCGGCCGGCATGCATTGCCCCGCGCTCGTCTTCACAAGAAAGTGCAGGAGCAGCTTCATAGGCGGACGGTGCGCGTATACCAACGCTACTTGAGCCTTGCTGACATCCGAGAACCCCACAGAGAACCCCGACTACGAATAGGCTCCAACGGCCGCTGTCGGGCGTGAAGCATCCCCCAACGGGAGCCCGCATTCTCGTCCCTGCGCGCCCTTTCCCGACTACCCTCCTGCCCCCTCGCATCTCCCCTTTCTCCTCCCCGCCCCTATTTCGTTGCCTCAGCCTCCTACCAGCATCGGAGCCAACGAGCACAAGACGCGATGCGCGCGCGTGGCCTTCGCGTTGTTGCCGTATCGTGAGCCCCACATGCGCTGCGTCCGCGCTATCGGCAGCCCCAATACATCGCGCAGGTCCTGGGCTGCAGCTGTACGAGCTCGGAGCGGCCCGCTCATAGAGGCGCGCCCGCAGCGTGCAGCATATACTCGTGGTCAGAGTGTGCTAGTCGCGTAGCACGCCCGCGCCAGTCGTTGCGCGCTGCATCGGCGGGATGTACGGGAAGCGCGGGGGGCACTGTGCACGGGCTCGACTGGCGGGAAGCGAGGGCTAGGACGAGGGCGGTGGCAAGCGGCGGCGGGAGGTGTTGGGACGCGCTGGCGCGCGGCGCGGCGCGAGGCGGCGGGAAGCGGCGGGAAGAGTAGGCGGTGACGGCGGCGGCAGCGGCAGCGACGCGGCCATACCGGGCACCTGAAACGACGGCGGTGACAGCGCGCGGCCGGTGAACGGGAGGCGGGCGGCGGGCAGCGGCGGGCGGCGGGAGCACGGTCCGCGGATTATTTACGAAGTACGCCACATTTGTATGTATAGTAACCGCAAATACCACTTTATTGACCATTAACGATGGGGGGCAATGTATATAATTCAACGAGCCGGAGGTCACAAATACCTGTGAGTCGTATCTCATTATTGCCCAGCAATTACTGACTCAGTACAGCTGGGCAATATCGGAATACGACCCCCTGCAGCTACAGGGGATATCTCGATACGGCCCCGGCCAATGGTGATATGGCTGTTGCCATGCAATATTTATATCAATATGTTTGTCCACTGCTTCGTCCGCAGTCAAAGTCGCCATTGCCTGAGGTGAACGGGAATCGAACCGTCGACCGCCAACGCGCGAATGCAGGACTATCTACCAGACCCCTGCGCCACGGGTTCTACAAGTGAGGGCGGCGTGCAATGGCTGAGTCCCAGTATAGCTCTCACCCTGCTCATACCCGCTGTCAGTCGTAAACCCACCGGCAAAAAGATATAAACTGATTGGAAGAAGGAGCACAAAGAAAAGTGCACCCTCACGCCTTCCAAGACGCAATAAACAACGGCGACGCGACGCAACAACGATTGAACGTGCACGCTCAATTCCATTGTCTCCGCATTTCCTCGCGCAGCAGGTAACTACAGTACCAGAGCCTCCACAGGTGTGTGCCTCAGCTAATAATCAATCATATGGTGTTCATCCTCCACGGCGGTCCTCGTTCGTCACTTGCCAGTGTGGTTGGGAGAACGCTCGGGTCACGAGTTGGTCACGAGACAATCCTAAAGGTTCCCTTCGAGGAGCATATTTCATGTTTCCTTGTGCTTGCAAGCACCTCTCAAAGCTACTATGGCACTTAGTAATGTAAACAAATACTCTAGGCGAGGATTCATATGCACAGCGTTGTCGAGGCGGACAATGCAGTTCAATTCCTTGCGGCCTCCCACCAGTGACAGCGTGGTAAAAGAGACTTCAATCGCGCCCGCGACGTTGTTGGCTTGCATTGGAAGTTCCTCTTTTCCAATGTGCTTTGTGCATTTACAGTAACTAGAAAGGATTGCGAGAAGCCTGCTAGACCAGGAAATAGCCCGAAAGATGTCTCAGGGCGGACAATGGAGTTCATGTTCCATCGAGCCGCTGCCGATGAAGCGTGGGAACATAATTCGGGATTCGCCGCCTCGCCTCGCCCCTGCAGCCTGGCGCGCGCATGTGGTGAGCCTTGCGGTAGGATGGCGTACTCAAACACCACAAGAGCGGTGTGGTAGGTGAAATTGCGCCCTGTGACAGTAGGGGGATTTCAAAGTTCGATCAGACGCGTTCTTCGATCGTCGCACGTGTTTTCTTACTCGATTCGGTCCGTCTATTGTTATGTTGCGTCTGCCCACCATGCAACTCGTTCGGTCGTGCTTCCCGCGAATGGCGTCAGTCGGAGAGTTCCAGCGCTGTAGTGACTTGTCAGAGGCGGACAGTACTGCGACATTCTTGAAGCACTTCGTGGACATCCTGTAATTTCAACCACACCGACAAACAAATATTACCAAACGGCGACCGCCGATCTCGCACTTGAAGCTTGAAGCTTGATCTCTTCCTCTCAGCTTGCTCCCCCTACCTACGCAGAAGGTGCAGCTTAGCGATGCTCTTGATAACGGGCTGGTGTGTGACGCGTGCGTGAAGTTTGCACGCCCTCGTAGGCTCGCGACTTAGGTGGTTATATAATAGGAAACAGGATCACCATATTCAACATCAAACGGGTGCGATCATCGAACCCGGGCGGTGGCGGTAAGTAGCTTCGTCACGTCGCCTACCGGCCTTTGTGACGGCTGTCACCTGCGATCGTTCTTTCTTCTGCCTCCTCCCACTCCTTTCAACGGCCGTCGTCGTCGGCTACCTGTACTAGCATGGAGGAGACTATGCCTGGGAATGAACGTACGTGCATCTTGCCTACACTCTTCACGTGTAATCTCATAAGTGAGCGCAGTGTCTTGCCTTGAACGCATAAGCGCCCTGCTCGAGCGCGCCTCATCGCTATCCAACATGGAGCGCCTACGGAACGGACCTTTCCCTGCGATTCAAGACGTCTCTCTCTTCCACGCTTGCGCTCAGGATCTGTCCGAGGAGATTGCGCGCATCGATGCTGGAGCTCAGCGAGCTCGCATCTTGCGCGACGCGGATCGCCAGCTGGAGATCATCCGCTCGACAGTCGCGCCCATCCGGCGTCTTCCGAGCGAGCTGCTGTCCGAAGTCTTCAAGGTCGTCGTATGCAGCCAGCCGCCATACGAGAGGACGTTCGCCGCACGGATCCTCGCCGCTGTTTGCGCGATCTGGCGCGAGACCGCTCTTGGTACCGCGAACTTCTGGACCTGTGTCGATCTCTCGCGAGCTACGCGCAAAACCGTGGAGGCGCTTCTCGAGATGCACGCAGACCTGGTCAAAGGGCTCCCTCTGCGCGTCTGTCAGCGTCCTGGAGTCGACGTCAACGAGCAGATGAGGTGTATGCTCGCGCTACCGTCGAATTACACCGACTTGGTGGAGGAGATATCCTTCCGTGGGGACGAGGTTGCATTATCCCTTCGCAGAGCACCCGAATTATCTTCGCTCATCCGTGCCGACCTCAGCATTTATGGGCAGAATGCATCCCGGGCGCTTTTATTCCTCCGCCGCGCCCATGATCTGCGCTCTTTGTCTGTCCGTCTGGAGCATAACTGCACAATCTATAGCGATCTCTCGATACCGATCTTTCCTTACCTCACCGAGCTGCAGTTGATTGACAATCGTCACGGTCTTTTCACGAACATCATTCCTCCAGTGCTGAAAGGCTGTGCTATGTCGCTTCAGCGGCTGGTCATGTCGACCCACGAGGAAATACGGTGGAAGGGAGGGAACGTCATCATGCCTGCGCTGCGCAGTGTGGATCTGCAGTACAACGCCCATCACCTGCTCTCTCACATGGACGCTCATGGACTTGAGGATGTGATACTTCGGGAGGCCCATAATCCTTTTGTGTCGCTCCGGCACGTCGTCTCAACACCGCCCATCCGCACTCTTGGCCTCGTCTATGTCGACGCTTCTGATGATAGTAACACCCGCCAGTTCGACGACTGCCTTCGACGCCTGGAGGCACTTACTGACTACTCCGTCGCGGATCTGGACGACGACCACCCGGTCATCCACCCGGATCTCGCACGCACGACGTACTTTGAGAGCCAGCAGCCTGCGCTCACGTCACTGCACCTTCGGCACAACGGGAAGGTTTACTACGCGCCAGTCGAGCTAGACGCGTACTCGCGTGACACGCAGCCGGCACCAAATCCGCAGCCGGCACCAATACCACAGAGCTCGCCCACCACTGTGTCAAGGCTACAGGAGTTGTTCAGGCTCGTGCATCAGATGGAGGAAGAAGGGTCAGTCTCGCTTTGCAGTCAACCCGCACTCCGTCACTGAACACCCACGTTTCGCAGGCGTTCTTTTCTTTCTCAAGCAACGCAGGCGGCTTCGTGAGATCATTGACTGACGAGCGGGAGCACGCCGTTCTACCGATATTCGGAGGCCAAGATGGCCATGGGACGACGTGCGGAAGCCTGGGGAGGACGCGCTCGGGGTCACTAAGTACGTCCCGGGCGAATTCTGCGACACCCAGAGCGGGAAGGAGAACGTAGTGTTCAGAGGGAAATCGTGACGATCAAAAATTCTGGGCAGCGATAAACGGATCTTTCAGTAGCGGGTTGAGTCCAGATTGTAGTGCGAAGTCACAACGACTCAATGATCATATTGCACTGTCATCGTGGTTGCTTCACCTTCCCCCCATGCCTACCCCGGTAACAGACCTCTGTGAGTTTCCCTTGCTTGTCACCGCCGGTCTTGGTAGCGCTAAAGGATTCCATCGCTCATATGGCTTTGTAGTGTAGTGGTTATCACCCGGGATTCTGACGTTGTCAATGAAAGAAGACTTCCCGTGACCCAGGTTCGATCCCTGGCAAGGCCTCTGTCCCACTATCCGTACCAGTTCTTTTTGCCAGCCACCTAAATGTATGAAGTGGGCACTGAAAGGGCTGAAATGTTACACACTACCCGCCAGCCCGTGCCCGTGCCCGTGAGCCGCGTTCGGGCGCTGAATTGTATTGTAGATTCCTTGTCAACCCCCTTGATTTGTCGTTATCCGGTGCTCGATGTCTGTACTGCGACATGAACTCAGAGAGTCATACATATATACTATGCCCTTTGTTCTCTCGTTATTGTACCCTCTATATACGGCAGAAAACCCGTTGTCTATCTACCTTGTCTCGACGTGGCTACTGCAACGGCAGCTCCGCCTCATACTCCCCGCTGTCCGTGCGTATAGACGCCGAAATTGTGACAATCGTATGCAGTATAAGTGAAGGTCTAGCATTATTCGTAAAGTAATATAAGTAGGTATTTAACAATTATGGCCATAAAACTTACCGACGAGCACACAGCTGGTAACTCGACGAGCGTACAACTATCGAATATCGAACCTGCGAACGCACATCCCACCGAGATTTTAGTCCGTATTTTAGTCCGTGAGTCAAAGTTCAAGCTCAAGCCGTGAGCATGCGTAACGTGGACAGATTGACGGGGCCGCCCTTAGGATGAGTAACATGTCCAGCCTCCCACCGCGATCCGCACGCGAACACGAAGTCCCGCACCCTCACAGCCGTGATTGCGTGTCTAAGGATAAGGACAGCGCTCAGTAATTCGATCACGGAATGGTACGGGATCGAGAAATATAGCAGGAATCGACGAACGGTGAGTGAAAGGAAAGAATGGTCGACTGAAAGGAAAGAATGAACAAGTGAAGAGAAAGGCCGGTCGATTACAAAGAAAGAACGGACGGCTGAACCGCGCGAGAGTAAGGAGCAGAAGAAAAATGAACCGCAGAACATCGGAGAGCGGACAGAAATTGTATTCACACGCTCTCAAGATGCGCATACAACGCCTCGCACTCTTTGAATGCGGCGTCGCAATGCGCGCAGCGCGCAGGGATTGCCACAAACCAGTGCGGCCTCCACTCGATGAGCGAGATGCAATTCCTGATCTCGGCGGCAAGAGGCTCCGGCACGAGAGCTATCGCCGTCGCGTTCAGCCCGTCGCGCACCTGCAAACAGTTAAGCCGCCCAAATCAGCAATTCCATACGACGGAAAAGACCCGAACCATGAAAAAACGCACCACATGCGGCCAGCGCGCCACATGCGTGAGGACGTTGTTCTGCGTGGGCCGCTCGAATGAGTAAAGCGGGTCCAGCGCCCGCATCTCCTCCATCGTCGTCGTCTCTGGCGCCCGCCCCGTCATCCGCAGCAGCCGGCACGCATAGTCGTGCAGATCGAGGCTGAAGTCAATCTCGGTCGCCGACCACGGCGCGTACCCCGTCCTCGAGCGTATCTCCCATGCACCGGGGTCGAGGGTGTCCATCATCAATGGGTCTGCGAGCAGGTCCGGGTAGCGCACGACGCGCGCGAGGTCCGCCAGGGAGCAGCCGTGCGAGAACAGCGTGGTGGCGAGGTGGAGGGACGACGGGGGGACGACCTCTCCCAAAGCCTCGCTCATCTTGTCCAGGAGCGCCTTCTCGCAGCGCGCGCGCCACTCGGCGTACCAGGACTCCGGGATGCCGTCAACGATGTCGCGGTAGAACGCTTCGGGAAGATCCTGGTCGACTGGCGTCTCCTCGATGGCGGTGCGAACGCTGTCGATGAGCACGAGGTTGCCGACGGCGGGGAGGACAGCGTCAATGGGCTTGGTCAGGCGAAAGGCCTCGTACGCGCCTGCGAACCGCTTGTATCGCGCTCTGATGGCTACCCGCTTTTCCTCTGCGAGGCGCCTCTCGCGCACAATCTTGACATGCGCGATGACTTCGTGCATGATCTTCTGCCAGCCTGAGAAACGTACAGGTCAGCGTCAGCGCCCAGGCGTGTTCGCGGAACACACCGTAGTTGGTCAACGGTTGCGCGCGGGCGATCGCAGAATAGCTCGAAAGCTTGGCGTCAGACTTGACGACCTCTTCACCCCATCCCAGCGCGCGGAGCTTGTCGTAGATTCTGCATTGCAGGTGAGCTACGCCAGAGGTGTAAAAATGTCACCGCTTACGCATTCTTCCGCTGGTGATGTATCTCGTCCAGCTCACGAGCGCGCTCGTCCTGCCGCCGATCGTCCCACTCCTCCAGCAGACGGCCGTGCTGAAAATCAAGTCAGTAGTCGGACACCAGAGTTACGTGCGAATCAACTTGCCGCTTCCCGCTTTTCGCACTTCTGCACCATCTCCTTCAGCCAGGGCCGAGCGGCGTCTTCATCATTCCACACCTCCTCGCCAGCTTCAAGGACGGCACTGATCTCCTCGCACGGGTAGAATCTACCTTCTCCGTGGCGATCTCGAGAGGCAGAATGAGAACAGCAACCAAGACGGGACGCAGAGCAACGTACCCTTCATACGGGAGGAGGGCACGAGTTGGGTGAGAGCAACGTCGTAGCGAAGAAGTTCGACTATTCCAAACATGTCCTCTTCCGCACAGAAGGGCGGAAGACATCGCTTGCAGGAACGTATTCGCGCCGCCCACGCTACCGTCGACGTATTCGGAGTCAGGCAGAACTATATGTCATAGGTAAGCAATGGATGATGGACGAGGGGCTATACACGCACCATGCATGACTTGTCGAATAGGAGCCGCGCGTACTGGGGCTCGGTGAGATCGTCCGGGACAGGGGGAACATCTTGTGCGTTCGCGAAGCTAGATCGCCAGACGGAGCGCGCGTTCTTGCACATGAGGATCTGGCGGAGGGCCTTGTTCGTTCGCGATACGTTGAGCAGGTGAGCGGGATGGAGATGACTGAGTATCTGGATCTCCAGTCAGTACGTACGGAGGTCAGACGCAGACTACGCACCTCGTATATAATGTCCAAGGGAAGTTCGAATAACGCGGCTAGCTTCTTCTTCGAGCGCGTCCGAGCAGACGCTGACTGAACTGAGCGATCGGTAGCCCGAGCGCCTTTGCTTCGTTTCGCCGGTCGTGCGCGGGCATTGCTTGCAGCTTCAGAAGTACGCGCTTGAGCGCTATCGTTGCTGTCGAGGGCGGCCAGGGCTTGTCGAGCCATGAAGATGATGGTAGAAAACGACGAGACGCGACGCGCTCACGCGCGTCACGCATGGCGTCATTTCGGCACCAGGGACAAGCTGGGTCAGAGTTTCGATACCGACTGTTCTTGTTCTTTTGCGCGAGCTTCACAACTAGTTTCTGGGGAGCGGATTATTCCAAGGTCGACGATGAAGGTAAGAAGAAACGTAACAATCGGGCTGGATCACGCTTCCTCTCTCACGCTGATGTCGATGCGGGCACGCTCTCCTCACTGCTTGTCTCGTCCACAGTACTGCTTCTACAATGGCATCCTCATCTGCCGATGTAGATCTTACACGCCTTGCGGAACGCCTGCGCCAGGTTGAACCCTCCTCAACCGACGCGGAACTCATCGTCAATGAGATCAAAGCCTTGCTGCATTCCCGACATCCCTTTCGCGATCTGCGTACCTCGCCCTTCCTTCCCAATGGAGGTCCACGATTCTTCGATAGTCAAGTCGTCATCCTCGCCACTCGTAATCTACGCGCGCTCGGCACACTTCTGGTCTTGCCCGAGAACCGGCGAGCGCTCTTCCTTGACTCTATCGAGACTTGCTTGCGCGGAATATGGTCGGCCCTCGTACCGTGGCTTGATTATTTCCACCCTATGCATCATGTGGGTACGGAAAGGCTACAAAGAGCTCCTCTCGTCAGCGTCGCTGATATATTCGCGGCGCTGTTCCGCATGAAGGAGGTCATACATGACCTCCTCGCGCAGACCCCGCGGCTGTACGGCTTGCTCTTCGTCTTCTGGCTCAACATTGACCGCTATTTCACCAAACAAAACATGTTTGACCTCATGGCTCAGCGCGCCGACCGTTTGGGCCACGCCATCCTCAATCACGCCGTCTGGACCGCCGGTGTTCACCAGCCATCGCTCTCTGCCGCAGACGCAGATCCCATCGCCATCGACGGCGCACGGTGGGCCGTCAAGGACAGCTCGCGCCGCTTCTACCGCCGCGCCACCGACCACGCAGCCATCCTGCTCCAAGCCACCGCAGAGGGCGACCACGACCATCTCGTGCTCCTCCAGAACCACCTCAACGCCATCCAGCTCTTCGCCGACCAGCTCTGGCCCATCCCGTGCATGCCGCGCGCTGTCGTCCGTACTCTCGTCCGCATGCTGTCGGTCGTCCGGCCCCTCCTGCCGCCTGCGCACGCCGTCGTGGGCTCCATATGCTCCGCGCTGCACGCCATCTGGCGTACGGCGGAGGATACGCGCGCGCTGGTATGGGCTTTGCGCGCGGGGGTTGTGCAGCTCATGCTCGAGGCGATGGACGGCGCGAGTGCGCCCATCACGAAGGCGCAGGTCGCGCTGCAGTACATCGCGACGAGGACCGCGCATCTCGAGGTCGTGCGTGCGTTGCCCAAGATGCCCTTCGTCGGTGCCGCGCCGTCGGACAAGGACGCGTTCTCGACGGACGTGGAGGCGATGGTTCACGCCCGTATCAGATTGGCGAAGACTGCGTACCAGAAGAAGTGCGCCTACGACATGGTACATACTATGCGTGTTCATCCCGACTTCGTGCTCCACTGCTCACCGCCGGCCGACAGTGCACTACAAGCGCAGAGGACGCGCGCTCGCGCATCCGCCGCTGCTCCTGCCTCGACGTTTGCTATTGCTCCACGCAGTGCCAGCAGTCCGACTGGACCTCTCATCGCAGAACGCATAAGGTAGACGGCCCTTTCAAGAAGCGAGACGGTGGGTCCCCTGCCCTCAAGCTCCCCTCCGCCTGACTCTCGCATACAGGCATCCTCACGCCGCTGGGCGCCCATTTTCTAGCGCTCCTCGGCAGAGAACATGTGCACTCAGAGCACGCCGCGATCTTGGCCAACATCAGGCAGACCCTGCGCGACTGCC